GCGCGCCGCAGTCGCTTCATTACATTGTCGACCAAAAACCACACACTGACAAGATCCACACGGACATCGAGGAGACAGTTGCCTGGATGCAGGCCTGCGTGGAGCTCGGCCGATCGATCCGCACCAGGAAGGACCTGCCACTCAAGGCTCCTCTCCGTGAGGCAGTGGTCATCCACCCGGACGCCAAGGTCCACGCTGAGATCCTCTCCATGCAGTCCTACATTGTCGAGGTAAACCGCATACACGCAATTACGTACAATTACTACACTACTAGAGTTTAATAAGTAGCCACGTATGTTTACTCTTTATGCTAACTGCAAGCACTTAATTGGCGTATTTGTTTTCAATACTTATTGCTAGCGACTATGCTTCTAAGTCATTACTTCTTTTTCTTGTGTTCGACCCTTTTAGGAACTGAACGTGCGCAACTTCTCTGTGACAGATGATAAGGCCAAGTACGGCGTGAAGCTGCGAGGCTCGCTGAATCCCGTCGTGGGTGCTCGCCTGAAGAGCCAAGTGAAGGCGGTCTCAGAGGCAGTGAAGAACTTGTCAGTTGAAGAACTGGAGGAGTATGTCAAGGTGAGAGAGAGAGAGAATGTGTGCGTCAGTAGTTCAGACCTTGAGAAGTAGTGCAGTTTCACAAGAAATCCCCTGGTGTAGTACTTTTTTGCATTCAAAAATCTGGCAGGACTTCGCGCGTGCAGTTTCTTATTGAGTTGATCCAATTGGGAAAAATTTGTGGTCTCGGTGGGATTAGAACCCACATACCAATTGACTTACGAAGGCACGCGGAAGCTTTGAATTCAATCAGACGTGGGTTGATTTACCCGCCCAGCCTACTGTACGTATGGAGTCCACCAATACGGATACAGTAAGCTGACTGGCCAAGCAGGATTTCCCAAGCAATCGTCTAGAATCGAACAGTGACTACTAGGCTCACTTATTCATTAATTATTATTGCGCTTTGGAGAGCCAGGGAGAAATATAGCTATGGAACAGATGTATTGCTATTACTGTGTTTAGTTTACTGCGATAAGGTTGAGCGTATTCCCTGGCTGAAGGTAACGCTCACTGCTATTCGCGGAAAATGAATTAGAGGGTCCGAACTCAGACTTTTGCTGTTGCTACATACGTCCACAGAGATGATGGTAAGGAAGCACTCTGGCCACACAAAACCATGTAACTGAGGTTTGTCACAGACTGCTGAGTATCGGATATATGCTTCATATCCTGCCACTATGTAGTCGTCGGCTTACAGTTCTTAATTACGATACAAACTCAGGTTTTAATTGTGTCGGTGAGGTCCTATGCCCCAGGTCCTGTTCCAGGAACATTGTGCACATGTTTCCCTGCGAAGCTCCTGGTTATACCTAAGCACATACCTGCTGTTGACTGACAACCCCCAGGATGACGATAAACACAGCGCTAAGGGGAGGAAGGAACCGAATCTTTGACGTAGACTGCAGCCATCTGAGGATGCTTAAAACCGAATGAACACGCACTGAAACATGTGTACTGTTGTGTCCCCCAGTTGTACGTATGGGTTAGAAGACAGAAAGGACAACCGAGCATAGCTTAATATAACAATTCCTGCGTACACGTCAACTCTACACGTCCCAGTTGGCTTGCCCCGTGTTCGCCAGCAAGTCGTCTGTCGTTGCGTCGCGGCGCTCTCGTCTGCAGCAAGTCCCGCCTCCAATGTCCGCTCTCGCATATAAAAGCAATCGGTCCGTGCCCGCTTTGTCCCTTCTTATTGGTCCCTCTGGGTAGCCATCGGATGCTGGTTGACCTCTTAAGGACATGTATACTTCGGCGGTGCTCTTACCCGTGGTCACAGATCTTTGTGTCTGTGCGCTTACCTCTATTCGCGCGCGTTTGTCCGGTGTACCTTGGGGTGTCTGCCTGTCTGTCTGAATGGATGGATGGCAAGGGTGGCGGCTCACTTGTTCGGCTGCCCTAACATGTACGTTTTTTTAATGCGTCATAGAGTATTAAATTATTTTCCCTTCTCAACTGATCACCCCGAAACAGTCATTTCTACCCAAAAAACTTTTCGTTCCCCTTCAACAACCGTTGGGACTCTGTTCACTGTTGTCCCAGGCCTATTGCAGTTATCTGTCTCCAAAATGCTCGCCTTCGAGATGCCTCTCGAGTGATCCAACTGCCGCCCCAACCTGTTTCTGCTAATGTCTCTGATGAGGTATCCGCGACGGTTGTCGAAACGTCAGGCGGATAAAAGTGTTGTCAGGTTCGTACGAAATGATCTGCACCCCGTTGATGCCTATATCTGATGTGCACTTTGTGTGTGTGCATTTTTTTCTTCTCGCCCAGAAAAACGAACTCACCGTGGCGGGTCACCTCCTCAGCGGTGATGACCTGACTGTCGTCTACTCGGTCGGCGCTAGTGCAGAAGAGCCCCCACCCAAACAACAACGGAAACAACAACAAAAACAACAACAGGGCAAGAAGAAGGACTCTGCGGGGGAAAATGCCGTGAACCATCATCAGCCGGAAACCACTGGACCCATCTACGAGGCTATGTCCGACCCCAACGGCCTCCTAATCCTTCTGGACGTGCGACCGGATGAGGAGTTGGAACAGGAGCGACTGGCCCGCGAGATCATCAATCGCATTCAGCGGGCTCGTAAGAAGGTAGGCAAAGTGGCGGCGCTTTTTAATCCAACATCCTCCTGCTTCCCCCTTAAAATACAGGCGCTATTTCTCGCTCTCTGTGCGTATGCGACTACAGTACCGTTTGTTCCTAATATCTAGGCTACGCAAACAAGCCAATAAAAGTGCGATGGTCGCTCCGCTGTGTTGACAGTTACTAAATGAATGAATTACTTTTTGTAGCATACGCCGAAAAGCCCAGACGGGTATTTCGTCGACCTTTTGGTGCTGCATGACGCAGCTGCGAGGGGTTCGGCTCCTCACTCGGTCTCCCATGGTTCCTCGTGCATTTCTGGTACATAAACACCATAGTTTAACTTCAATCTTCCTTAATTTCGGAGGAAATTAGTCCGAGCAAATCCTTCCATGCAAGCCTTTTCAGGCCTGGTCCGAAGGTTGCGTTTTGAGTATTTTAGCTGTTACCCATCATCCACTGCGCAGTAATCATGTGGCATTAACAAACTGCCAGTTGGCAGTCAGTAGTATAAACTACGAGCCCGAAAGGGCTCGTTCTGCGGTCAGCGGTATGGCGTTCGCGCTGTCTGTGTGCGAAACACACCCGGTACCTACGTGCGATCGCGCCATCAGGTGTCGGCCAGGGAGGACGCA